AGGACAGAGATACATTTTGGTCAACACTGCAATTCATAATCTTTGGTTAATAAGAAACCGAGGCCGAAAGCATGCCCACATATCTATTTTCTTTATGTGTAGGTAAAGCGGAGGAGTTATAAGTTAAGGTTGCAGCACAGGAGTAGGAGTAGTGCTGCGGTCCGGACTTCACCTCGTGGCAGTCAGTGATGACGTCATGATCTATGTCGTGTCACTAGTGAAGGGAGGCTCTTTGGCAAAGGAGGAACTGCCTCTACAGAAATGACCGAATTCCAATGTGATGTCAGGATTTACACACAGATTTGGAAATTGTACGTCCCAAGCTATTCTTGGGAATGCTGGCTGCGGTTCTGTCGAGGTGCATTCCTACTCGGCGAGAGTCTCGAAATGTACCCACTGTGTGTAGCTAGCTGATGTAAAAAAGAAAAACACCTTTCTCATTTTTGTATATAAGGAACATCATAGTCAGATGTTCGCACAGTATTATATAATATTCGCAGATATAACAGCAAAATGCAAGTATATTACAATAACGTATATTAAATTTCAGTATTCCACTTAACATTGCAAGCGCTCTCCTGGACCGTACAGACATGATCTTGCTCCATTTGTATAATAAGAATTATGCTTTCGTAACTTAAATAGTGCAAACTGTAGCAATGTTTTATATTTTTATTAAATTTCAGTTTGTTTTAAAACTGACCCCCCGCAATCCAACCATTTAAGCAGTACACACATTTTGCTTGATCAGGCAAGATCGATACGTAATCTTACTATTCTCCACTCAATCTGTATTACTCCTCAAGACAACTAACGGGCATCGTTTCTACGTAAAGGAAAGATAATAGTCTATTTCTCTTGTAATTGACAGAAAATCAACAGGTACTATAATATTGCTAACAACAACAACAATAATAATAATTCTAATAATTGCTTACACTTATATAGCGCTTTTCTGGATACTCCACTCAAAGCGCTTTAAAGGTAATGGGGACTCCCCTCCACCACCACCAATGTGCAGCATCCACTTGGATAATGCAAGGATGAATAACAAGGCATATTCTATCAACTGCTTGCAATTTTAAAAAATGTAGCTGTAGATTTATGTATATGTTAATCACAGTGCTGCTGTTGACATAGAGAACTCAAACCGAAGGGAAATCACAGCGCTATGCAGATAAATGTGAATCTGTACTCTGTACTCCCCCTTGTGGTGGCAGATGTGCCGAAGAAGAGTAAGGCTGGACATTGAAGTTGGCGGCGAACAGATCGCTGTTGCGAGTGGCACGGTGGCGCCGTGGTTCGCGTTGCTGCCTGGCAGCTTTGTGCTCTGGGTTCCAGTTCTGGGTGTGGGATGCTATCTCTGGAGCTTGTATATTCTCCTCCAATCCACTGCCATCCCATCCAGCGTGTATCCTGCCCCCGCGCCCCTGTATTGAATAAAGCAGTTACAACTGGAAGGATCTGTGTCGCGGTAACAAGCAGTATATTGGAACATAATACTTTTTTATTTACATCTGAAACATTTTCGTCTGAAGAACAGTGTTGGTGCTACGAACGAGACAAGACGGTTTTGAACATTAAGAATAAACCAGGCTTCTACACAAATTACTTTTTTTTTTTGCTTTAAGAAACTGGCGTGAGTTCACATTCTGAAAAACAGGGTTCTTGGGGTGGGAATATTCGCCCTCGGCTGTTTTAACTATTACGTTTCATTTGGTGACCCGGAGTCTCCCACTTTTAAGTTGAAGAACTTGCAAAGTAACCAGGGAACTTGTTAGTTCAATACAGTATCCAAGTAAAATATATCGTCGGGAACGAAAGCCAGTAGACGTAGGGGATCCCCTCTACTAAAGGTATACCACGATGTCGATTTCACCGAACCCGTTACAGTCAGAAGTATTTGACTATGAGTAACGCCTTCGCAACATATTACCCGTACACATTTCTGGGGAAAAAAGGATCATGTTCCACATATGTATGTATCCCTTAAGGAATAATTCTGCTTCAGTATACAAACGATCACTGATCCAGATGAACTCAAATCCAAGTTGCAAGGAACAGATGGGGAAACACGACCTAACCCGCTACTTCTACACGGCACAACCAACGACCACCATTTGTCCTCCAAGAGCTCCACGGCACATCCCATAATTCCTTGCGCGTGGGTGACGTCTAGGTACGGAGTGAGTGTCGGCGGTGCGTCTCTGCAGTGCTCTGGCAGAGCGACAGCGACACAGATTCGGGGCAATTCGGGGCTGATCGGCGAAGAACATCCCAACCAGGGGCTGGATTTTACCTCATTCAAAACGGTTTTTTTTAAGTGTGTAGATGGCCAAACCGTAGAAAACAAATTATACGGCGTCTTATCAAAGGAATATGTGATTCTCATTTTTTTCAGAAAAAAGAACGCGTCTTTTTTATTGAAACGATTTTCTTCATTTAAAAAATTGTCCCCCGACTATCTACCAATGTATTCTTTATCGCTACCCGGGTAGATATTTGTTTTCGCTTGGGGGTTATTTTTTAAATTTCATTTTCACTCCGTTGAAGTCTTGCTCCCTAAAAAGGGGAGCGTTTTTTTTTTAAGGAAAACATATATATTTTTTTGTTCGAGGAAATCTTCAAATCTGTCGGGTCTAGGTGGGGATTCGAGTTTTTTTCAGCCGGGAGAAGGGGATAATATGTCCAGGCGCAAACAGACCAACCCCTTCAAAGTTAATTGTAGGTATCACAGGTATTGCAAATCTCTCTCTATTTTAATCGTAGCAAGGTTAGCAGCCCCAGCAGGACCTCAATATAGGGTTCTGTTGGTGTGATGGTTGTTCTTTGAACGAAACTCAGCAATGTTGCTAGTTGATTGTTTTCCTGGGGCTGTCGTGTCCTCCCTGTTTTGAACTTCTGTATGTGATGTATTTTCAAAACGGTAAGTCGACGGATTTTATAAAATGTTAGCTTCTATACAGTACTGTGTTATGTTTCAGTGTTATACCTGCATTGAAACCCTGATCTCTCCTTACATCGTTTTGTCGCCTCCCTTGTTTTCATTGTAGCTGCCTGTGCAACTCCGACGAGCGTCATTAATTCATAATTGTCAACAAAACACTTGAGATAATTAATTCATTGCTCTGTCAATACAACACTAGAGACTCTGTGAGTGGGAGTCGCCCACTTGTTTTAGTGCTGCGTGGGATTCAACGTGGAGCAATGAAGAGAGGTTGCTTATGGTGCGAGTGTCCTGTGATGGGACGCTTCTCCATTCGTTGGTGTAATGACTTGTAGTGGACGGAAAACACACTATTATTGTTCAGTTGAGTCTCGGTGGCAGTAGAGAAAAAAGGTGTACAGTTAACCGGGGTCTTGGTTATTTGGTAACTAGTCTAATGTTATTCCCATAACATTGATATTCCTTTTTCTCAACCTGAGGAGGGAGGGCATTGCCAGCACTTTATCACAGCTGGGATCAAAGTTGAGATGATGGAACAGTGCCTCTGGACGGATCCATATGAAGGATTTTTTACGTGTTCCTTAGCCTAATTGAAAAGTAAAGTATTGGAGCACGACATGATGGAAATCATGTTTCTCTTTCTCAGATGCTGCTTGTTTAGTCATCCCAAGGAGAGCAGTCCCCACACAACAGGCTCTCTCTTTCCAGAATCCTGGTCTCTCCCCCAACTCGCCTGTCTTACTTAATTGGTTGATGCTGGCGTTTGAAACTTGTTGATTTGCAAAAACTGGGCCGACCAAATGCAATATCGATTGATATTGTAAAGCTTGCAAGGACGTAGCTTTACATTGAAAACGGTTTACATTGAAGCCTGATGCTTTGTTAAGATGTCGGCTGGCTCTCAAGTTGTGAAGAACTAGCTGATGTGTGGGGAGCGTTCTGGCGCACTATGGCTGCCGTCACATCATCCAGGTGGGGCTGCACATTGATGGTGGTGGAGGGGAGTCCCCATTACCTGTAAAGCGCTTTGAGTGGAGTATCCAGAAAAGCACTATATAAGTGTAAGCGATTATTATTATTCCTGGCTTGTTTGAGGATACAGTAAGCCTGCTTTTGTCCCTTCCGTCCCACTGCACAGCAGTACAGAGGTGCTGCATATCCAAACCCAAATCTGTTCTCGAAAGACGGAGAGAACGAAAACTTCTTATTCTGATGTAGATTGTTCTTGATATTTGTGGCCTCTGGTTTTTGCCTTCTTATGGGGAAAAACAATCCAGTATTTCAAAAGAATAGGTTGTTCACAAATCCGGTGTAAAGTGTAGTGGTGTTTCAGTTACATGTCATGAAGGGAGTTTTTTTTACACAAATCCCTGCCTCTTATTTACAGTTTTTTTTTTTGTCATAGCCTTCCTTTTTTATGGTAGAAAAGGAACTAGCAGGGGCAGTTTTAATCTATGGAAATTGGCAATGTTTATGCCAAGACTTTAATAATGTTGCTCATACTTCCAGGAACATTCCCAGTGTGTGAGAGGGATTTAAGGAGGTGGATGCATGGAGATTGTGGCTTGGGGTGGTTCACAGGACATTTAAGTCCTCTTTTCATCAGAGCTCTGAGTTATAGTCTTCAACTACTTATTTGCCTAATTGGAGCAGCTTGACCCATTTTTCATTTCTAAAGCCATTGATGACTTCTGTTGCAAAGCTGAGATTTGCACATTGCAGGCATCAGAAATGGGCTGCTGTGGAAGTTGTGTGTTAAGGGAGGTTGTTTGTATGCATCTGTGACCACTTCACCCCCACTGGTACAGAAAGATTCTGCGCTGGTGAGCTTGGCTTGGTGGGTTATCTTTTGGTTTTAAGATATTGTACTGTTGGCAGCAGTGGAGATGGAGGTGTGTGCTTGGTATATGGTAGACAAGCACAGAGTTGGTCCTGGCTTATTAAGCTATGATCAGCCTGTTGATGAATCACAGTACCTCATGATTATGATGCTACATGTTGTAAGAAGTGAATACGCCATGATACATGACCAAAAGCACAACGTCGTCACTTGCTGCAGTGCGTTTAGTGTCTGATGAATCATAACTAAGGAATATGGATGAATATGTTCCCTTTTTGACCTCATTTTAAATACTACATTTGCCTTACAAAGTTTCTGCCACAAATGAAGACTGTGTAATGACATGTCCAAAAAATCATGCATCACCTAGGCCATCTAATTCATCTCTTGATACATATTTTGTCCACGCCTTCGAATTCGCAGCATTCAAGGGGGGGCTCTGCAGGATGCCAAGGAGCATTTAAGTCCATCAAAGTGGATTGTGTTGCTAAATCGTTAGTGGGAGCAAAGTGGCTGGAGGCTTATATTCTAAATGCAGACAGTTTGTTTTGAAATGGTTAGGAAATGCATGTGACCTAGTTTTGTTCAGGGTGTGATTTTTTTTGTAAGTACACCCAAAACAAACTAGTCCGGTCAAATCAAATGTAGAAGTTTAGTTCCACATTTTTAACCATTCATATAATCCCTAATCAATAGAATAAGCGTCTAAAAATGTTTCTATGTCTTTCTAATACTTAGACAATCTTCTCATGGTCTAACGCATAGTGCAACCAAAAATAAAAAACAGCCTTGTCCCTGTTGCTAAAGCATGTCTCTGTCTAAAACATAACAGTGACCAAACTGATGGTAAGAACTACATTGCAGGGAGTATTGTGTTTTTATTTCAGCCTAGAGCTTGTCTGCCTCTGCTTGCCTGTCTGTCTGTTTCACATAGGTTCTGTGCCAGCACACACACCCTGCTTTGCTTTTTGGCTAAAGAGTAGTATAAGGCACCAGGGAATAACATGGAAAATCCAAATTGACTTTACTGACCTTCCCTGCTGAACATTTCCATCATACAAACTTTTAGCAGTTTGAGTTGACAGTTTTTTTTTTAATACAATGCAGCTTTTAAATTGTTACAAGTTAAAATCCTGGTCAATAGCTCAATTTCTTGGCTCTGTATCGCTTGATTTCTGAATCGGTTTCTTTAACGAAAGACTGTAATTATCGCAGCTTATATTTCTAATGCTCATGTGAACATGTACATGCAGTTTCAGCTTTCTTTTCTTGGTGTCTATCTGACTTGCTGAAGGATTGAGAGACTCCCTGCAGGGGAAAAATAATTAGGATCTTTTGAGTAAATCTACTGGTGGCTATCAGGTAGAAGAGTTAGCACGTGGTTCATAAACAGCAATGCAAAGTAATTAGTGTCCTGCAGTATCTGTTGATGAAAAGAAAACACCACTTGTTTATTCAGCACGATCAAAGCGTAAATTTGATTATTCTCCTCTTCCCATGCAGTCTGCTTGCATTCAAGGATGTTATTATGGGGGACATACAGTATGAATGAGCAGTACTTTATATACTGCATTTGTATCACAGTATTGCTGCTGGGGTAAGAAAACTCTCTTGAAGTTTTCTAATGAAGCGTGCCTTACAGTTTCTGGGCCGATGACATCTGAAGTTGCAGTCTGCTCGTTGATTGTTCTTAGCGAGAAAGGGTGCACATCAGAAACCAGAATTGTTTAACTCATTTGTGTGGAAAACCCAACATCTTTTTGGTGTGGTACAGCTTCCTAAACAAATGAGTACAGCAATGCCATAACTGTATTACGGATCTTCTGGTTCTCTTTGGATTAGCCGCTGGCTGAAGGCAGGAGAACTATTGACTCTTCATTTCACTGAATTTCTTCATGGAAGGATCTTTCAGAGCCAAGATGGAGGCATGGAGCCTCCTTCTGCTTTGGCCTATTGTAATCAGTGGTAGGTGCCCTAACATGTTTGTCCCAACTCTTGCATCGACCCAGCATTTCCTTAAACCCAAAGCACTTGCTCGCTACCACATTGGACTGGGGGGATGTGCTAGCCATTTTCTAATGTAATTCTTCTCGTACAAAATGAATGGGGAGGGATTGGAATAAGTTAGACAATTCCAGAGTACTTGGTGTCAGTGACCATTGGAGCCCAGTTTTGGTTTTTGTGTTGTGTTTTTTGTCCCCCCCCCCCCCCCCCCACCCCTTCCTTTCTGTGTCTGTTGGCTAATGAGTTTGTCTCTTTGTCTGGCTTCAGTCAGACACTGCGTCACCTCCTGCCTACAGACACACAGACTCAAAGAGATAACATCAGAGTGGCAGGCAGGCAGGCAGGGAGAGGGAGGGAGGGAGGGAGGGAAGGGTGAGGGAGACAGATGTACAGACAGAATGCAGCAGTGGGGGATGGGCGCCTCACTCACATCAATCATGGGCTGTGCACTGCTGAACCAGCTCGTCCTAGTAGTTCAGTGCGGCCCCAGAAACTACTACTCCCATTGCACACCAAAGAATTACTTGAAATGTTGTTTTTTTCTGTTGTGAGGAATAACAATGTGGTGGGAAATATTTATTTAAACTTTTGTCCTGGAATGGAAGTGGTAGAGCAGGAATCTGCCCTGTAATTTAGGAAACCCATCTTCGTAACATTTCTGTGAAGGAAAGACCTAGAAAAAGCACGGCAGTGTTTTTAAATGCATGTATCCATATCCAGTCTAGTCAGATCTGCAGTTTTTTTCCCAGAACATTAATCTCTTTATTATTAGAAGGGCAAAGGCATAATTCACGAAGCCAGTTCTATGAGTTTAAAATCATTGGGAATTCACCTCCAGTATAAAGAATGCCAGCAATATTTATATTGCTTTTATGCACCGGTAATCCTAACAAGTAATGAATTGTGTGCATGCAAGATAGAATGTATTGCAGGGTATTGCAATGGTTCAGAAATAACTTTCAAAATGGAATTATTTGTAGGGTGCCTGCCTAAAATCAAGCATGGGATCTCTGAAGGACTGGACATAAGGCTGACTCTTTCCTGTTCAGTAACATCCTGAGAGCAGAAACAAGGGTGCTGCAGTGTATTTGTGCGGGTCAGCGCTTGGTTATCCGAGAGCAAAGCTCTAGCTTCTATCAGGAAATACAGCGCGCAGGGAGGAACCCCAGGGACAACTGCTCCATCAGCCTGAAAAGGGGGGACTACTGAGAGGGGGATGCTAGGATCTCTCTCTCTTGGATTAGGGCAATGGAAAGGAGTGCAGATAGAGGCTGCCTCTCTGGGGACTGCAGCATGCCAGTCAGCACTGTGTGCGCGATCATAGCTCATTGCCTTCTGGAATAGGAGTTTGCTTTCTGACTGCATGGATGTTCAGTGTCCTGCATGTGTGTTTCCTGCACATTTTTGTATAAGCATGCAGTGTTCCCTACCTATACATGGTGCAGGAAGGAACTTGGCCAGTGTGCTCATTCCAGGGGCAGGGGGCTTGGGAATGAATATTAAACTGTTGGTCAACCTTTGTGTGAGAGATAGATATTGTGTATTTGATTGGAAATCTAGATGACATTTATTCTGATCATTCTAAATAAGTGGTTTATTGTCCCTTGCTTGTTCTAAGAAGTTCACATCTCATCCATGCCCAGTGTACCAGAGCCATTGCATTTCATTGCATGGATTGTATGTATTAATAGCAGAATCTGTGCATTCTCATATGGAGAAGAAACCCTTTCCAAACTAGTTATTGAATCCTACTTGAAACCTAATGGTGGCTGTGGAGGTGACCATCCTTCCCCTTTTCCGCTTGTGCCCACAGGGCCTTTCCCCACAGCAGGGCTAGCTGGCCCCGAGCGCACTATGGAGACAGAGAGCAGGGAGGATTTCGCAGAGGACAGTGAGAGCCACAGCAACAACTCTCAGGAAGCAGAGGAACAGGAGAGTGGAACAGGTGAGTCTTTCTCCCAGGAACTGCAAATCAGAGCAGGTTGTTTACATGTAGACTTTCATCAAGAACATGTTGGCACGTATATTCCTACGGTTCAGCTGATCTGACAATAGGAGGCTCGACAGCCATGATATAATAATGTGCTGAGGGTAGAAAAGTTATCGGCCTCCCCATCACTTTTAGGGCATAATGTCCTTACTAGTGTGATATGTATTGTACTGCCTGCTGTTCTCCTCTCATAACCTAAGGAACAGAGGGAGATTCTCTCAAATAATACATATCTTCTCAAAACATCTCTTACTGATCAAGAACCTAGACAGTAAAAGCTCTCTCATGCAATATGTTTGAAGAAGATGACGAACAGAGACTGCCTTTGTTGATCATGTCTGTCTGTACTCAGGAAATACAATTTAATTTGCAATTTGGGTTCAAGAGCATTTAAATAAAGTGAAATTTAAAGAGCTGGCTAATGTAAAAGAGCTGGGCTTGGCCAGAAGACAGGAAGTGTCCAGTCGAGTTTCACCTTTGACCAGCAGTGTAAAAACCTCTTGTGTTTTGCAGAGGACAGCGACAGTGATCCGGACAATCACGGCGAAGACGACTCTTCCAACACATCGGCTGATGACAACATGATGTGCACCAAGAACAGTCAGAGTGTCCCTCCTGATGGGGGGGTCAAAGAGGTTGGTTTCAGAAAAGGACCTGATATTCATCACAATCCTTTAAACCTTAGGGGCTATACAAAATGTACTCAAGGTTGATATTACTATGAAAGGACTATTATTATGCAGTTTTTCTCCTTATTCTGTTTCTTATTTTTTGTGTAGGCCACGATTTGCTTGCTGCATCAGCAGCAGGTACCGAACTAAAGCAGCTCATGGGAGACATGCTGTGCATCAATGTTGAGCCTAAATTCAGAATGTTTATCTTTTGGGCTTTGCAGTGCTAATTTGCTTCCTCCGTACACTTCCTGACACTAAACTTTGAGAGGACTTTGCAGGAGCTATTTTGGCTGAAAAAGGTGTTTATCAGGGAAATGGAACAATTACAATTAGAAGTGTTAACATGGAAATACACCACAAATGCAACCAATTACACAAAAATAAAAAATAAACTAACATAAGGGAAGACGATGGTGTTGTAAAGTACATCTACAGTGTTAAAAACACCTCTGATTTTTTTTTTAATCCAACAAAGTGTTGTATGTGAGGTAGGGCTATTTAGTGGTCTGCACAAGTTGAATCAGTACTTTCAGTCCTGCATTTTGATACACAGCTGGGATCTGTTAACCGCAACTCTTGAGACTCATCCTGTGTCTCTAGCCCTTCATTTATAATTGCATTGTACAAGACCAACCAATGTGAAGGAGGCTGGGGCCATGTGGGATTGCATTTCGTCTTTCTTTGAGTCTTCTTGTGACGTCCAACCCAGACGAATGTTTAGTGTAGGAGCAGCTATGCCTAATGCCCATTTTTATTTTAATCAATATTCTCTCTGAATTCAGTCCATGCCAGTCTTTGGGGCATGCCTGGAAAAGATCTGCGTATGAGAAATGAGTTTATTAGCCGTAGAGCCTGGAACCACAGTACCAGGCGGTGGTTTTCCTTATGGGTTATTCTGTATGAAATCGGTCAAACAGTTACTGTTTTTGGCCTTGCCTCTTTTGATTTTAAGTAAAATTATTATAAATGCCTTCCCTTAGGAGAAATGGTTTGATTGATTTCTGGACCTGAATGACCAACCATTCAGGACCTGGATTGGACCTCCCTACCTGCCATAGAGATCCATCACCGATAAACACAGAAGGGTGATTGTTATTTTGTTTTAAATAGGTTTTCAATCTTTTCTATAGTTTGTGTTAGAATTAGGTGATGTTTGACATATGCCCTCGTTTATCTCAACATGCGTAAACTCGGTTTTTGAAGTGTGTCACAGTTTAGACCCTTGTTTACATTGCCTGAAGATTGTGATGTACTCATTATTGGTTGAGACACAGCAGACCTGTGAATAAATGGTGTCAGGTTTAACTTCTGGTCATAAAAAAGCCATTTACCCGTGAGGCTCACTTTTTAACCCTCTTTTTTGCTTTGAAGCCAGTGTTCAAGGAATTTGATGTTTTGCTGTGCACATCCCCCACATCTACAACTATTGGATCAGAACAGCTAGGAAAGTAAACTATTTTGAACTCATCTTGGATGACAAGAAATATTGAGCAACATAAAAAAATACCAAGCACATTTTTTTGAGGAAGTTCATTTCTCCGCTGTATATAATATCTATTTAATGGGGTTGATGAAGTTATATTGACAGATTCCTTCACAAGCCATCTTCTTGTGCTCTATAAACCTATCAACAGGCTCACAGATGGACAGATCCAACTTCAGACTGTTGCTTTCCTCTTCCTATACTCCTTTGTATACTCATTCAGGAGATGAGCTGATTGGACCTTAACGGCAAGCAACACCAGGAAGAAAATGCATGAGCCGAGATAAACCATGATGACTGACTCAAAGGCTCATCTAAATGAGCTGTGTGTGTTTAGCAGACATCAGTTTTGCATTCTGGCGCATTGAGGATTCCACTAACATAGTGTGTGCTGCTACTGCCGGCTAACACATACTCTTTCAGGGTCAGCTATGCAAATATGGAGAAGCCTGTGTGGATGATGGGATTCTCTTCCTTTTAAACCCTCAGAAAGACTGTTGCTTTTGTTGGTGGTCCTGCCATCCCGACTTTTTAGTATAGATGAACAAAATCATCTTTGTACTGATAGAACGGTTTAATCTTCTAAGAAGTCTCCTCCGGAGGTGTTTTCCCCTTTCTTTTAGATTGGGATTTGCTAGTTTTCTTTCTCTTCTTAAAGGGCCCTTGCTGTCCTTGACATGTGATGGGTTACTTTGAACTTGGTGGCAGTTAGTCATATAGTCCAGGATGTTATTTCAACTGTTAGAATTTGATCTTCTGTTTTCACTTGAATTGAATTTATCCTTCAGCATCATTTCCTGTTATTCCAGGACATTATTGTTGGTGGTTTCTTTCTTCCCCATCACTACCTCTGAGAAGACATTCCTCAGCCTTTTCTTCAGTGCCTCCCCAAAAGTTTTTACTTTACTAGAAGTAAAAATAATCTGTAATCTGTTCCGTGCTACTTTTTCTTACAAGGTATAGCTCTAATTATTTTACCTGCACTCTTTCAGTAGAAAGAGTTTCACTTTTCTCTGCATCCGAGCCTGGAAGGATGGATTCTTTGAAAAGTGGATCATCCTCATTCAAAGATTAAATTTATTGGCCTGAGTCTGGAAGTTGACAAGCTAATTAATTTCAAATGGGGACAACACCACTTTAGCCCTTACACATAAGCGCTTACTCTGTGCCTTCAGCTTGCTTCGTAGCTAATGTGTGGCTGCTGGTGATGAGCTAACTTGCCTTGCAAGTGGGTCACATCAAGCCTTGAAATCTGTAGCACTAATAAAGTTGCTCTGTGCAGATGCCAATTTGTGCAAGTAATGTTGTCCACTTCAGTTTTTTTTTTATTTTGCTGCATTACAGTCAAATGTGCCAATAAGCAAATGTGAAAACTAAAGTAATTTCCGAGTGTATTTCCCTGCTGAAACAGAACAATCAATGCATTATTTAGGCAATATAGAGTATTCATGTGGAAGATTGACCTGACACCCTGTATTGAAGTGTATGTGGTTCCTGAACCAATAATGGGCACAACACAGAAACTTAATGAGATGTTAACAAGGGTCTAAATATGTGGAAAAAAAGAGGTCAAAGGTAAAAAGTGACTATTTTCATAACTGGTTTCACAGGATATATTAAATAGTCTGACACCTCCATTTATCAGCTTTAAGGTTATATCAAAATCAACCTTTCATGTTTATCAGTGGTGGGGATAGTGTTGGGGTCCAAAATGAGTCAACATTGAGCACCTCTGTTTCCTGAATGGTTAGTCCTTGAGGTCCAGAAATCACAGTGCAACCATTTCTCCCATGGGAAAGCATCTTTAATCAAAGTAAAAAGGTCAGCATGAGATTGATTTCTTATGCAATGGCCCTTATGGGGCATTATCTACAGGGGCTTTCTCAAAACTGATGCCTTTGCCACTCTTGGGGACCTTCCAGTCTGACCTTCAGCATGTATTTTTGAGTTTAATTTAGGTAATGTTGTAAAGTTTGTAAGTGGTATTGGATAAGTGCATCTGCTAAGCAAGTAAATAACTACATCATTTTACTTACTTTTTGTAGACAAAATATGCCCTAGGCTGATGACCTATTTTTGTTTGCAAGTAATTGGCTGTCATTCTTCTCTGATTAAGGTTGTGACATTCTTTTATTTGGTATAATAACATTTACCCCTTTCAGATACATAGTTTCTTAAAATTGCCTGCAACACATGTTGGTAATGAAGCAATTAGGATAATTAAAATATCTCAGTTTATTTGACCCATTTCATTATTTCTTCATATTTAAGTATGATGTACTGGTATACTGTTAATCTACAGCTACATAAGAGAATTTCCGTGATAAAAATGAACATACACTACCTCATCTATTTCCTATGTTCCATGATCCCCATTTCACTCTAACTAGAGCTAAAATGATCTATTTTTATGAAACTGGGGGGATACTGGAATACCCTTAAAATACACTGGGATCCTTTTATTTACAGAAACTGTCCTTTTGAAAAGAGTAGGGCTGAGCAGAAATTTAGCTGGGCTCTGGTCCTGGGTCCCATACACCTGCTGATTCGTGTTGCATCTGAGCTCTTCGCTTTAAGGAATCCTTAACTGCACCAGCAACGTGTTTGATTAGAACTGCCACACTTTTTGTATCTACTCAAAAGCTGGAGATCTTGATAGGCAATAGTTAAAAAAGCTAACTTCCAACCAACTGAGGTTAATTATTACTGTTTATTAGGTCAGTTAAATACCCAGTTATGTAAGTGAGAGCTGAAATGGAACAATAACCAAGAGGAGTGTGTCTTCATTGTGCAAAGTGCAAAAAGTGACAGTGTGGTCAAATGTTTCTTCTTGCCTCTACAACAGGTCAGAGTAACCTCCATCCCTCCTTTTTCTTCTTTCTTTGAGTTTCCTTTTTTTCTCCTTACTAAGGAGGTTTTGGTTTCTCTCCTCCGTTGTCTTCTGGGCTTTTAGGTTCTGTATCCGCAACATGTATGGTCACTTGTAAGCGCCTCGAGGCAAAAATGTTGTGAAAGGCGCTATATAAAAATAAATTGAATTTAATTGCATGTCTTCAAAAATTAATAATTCTTTCCAGACTTCAAATTGCTCCATGTAGTTTATTTTGACTCAACTCCCCCTCTTTCTGAAAATGTCATGGAAGATAAACTCCAAGCTATACCTGTGAGGCTGATCTAAAACGCCTGTTCTAAACCCCTGGATAGGAGCAACTCTGACAGTGTAAAGTGTAAACTCTTATTGCTGTTTGTGCTGCATCGGCAGGAATGTGAGGAGAAGGGGGAATCGGGGAATGGGTTCCTGTGTCCGCTGTGCACGCTGGAGTTTGGCAGTCCTGAGCAGCTCATCGCACATGTTTACCAGGTAGCGGGTTTTGCATTATTTTTATTTTATTTTAGATTATTTGTAGTACACATCAGCCACTCCATCTGTCCGCAAGGGACCCCACATCCTGACATAGGGGCAGGGAAGCATAGGCAGAGTCTCTTGTATATTAACACATCACTGGCAACACCACCCCCTGTAGGAGAGGCACCGCATCCCTCACTGACAGTGACACACACCCACATGCACCCAGGAGTGGTCACTGTATTTGCCAGGAGAGGCCCGGCCAACGTTTCCCACCCTACCCTGTTAGCTAAGCGCAGCTGCTCGAGGAGTCCTGCTCACAGTCAGCTAGTGACCTGACCCTGCTTGAGGAATCCTGCTCACAGTCAGATAGTGACCTGACCCTGCTCGAGGAATCCTGCTCACAGTCAGCTAGTGAC